TTATTTTTTCCTTCAGTAGCGGTAAGTCTTCTTTGAATGTAAGTATTGTACAACCTTTCATATCATAGTGTGTTTTGAGGTAACGTATCTTGAACTATCTGTTTAACATCTTCATTTGGTGTCATTGAAATCGGTAAGTTTTCGCGATAGAACCAATTTCTGTCAGATTTGTAAATCTTAGCAAGGTCGTAAAAAGCTTTTGTTGTTTCTTCTGACTAAATGCAACATAACCATATCTCTGTCTTCTTCATTTTCCATCTCTTCAGTGTAAATCATATACTTATAGTTCTTTTCCTTTCCTTTTGGTACCGAACGTGGTATTCTTTTCTGTATGTTTTTGTTTTTTTGCTTCAAGCTTGTTCTCTAGCTCTTCACGTTCTTGTCTATGAATTTCATCTAACATCATGAAAATATAACAAGCGTAACGAGGTGAAGCCCACATTGCAACAGCATTTACTAAAAGTCTATGTACATACCAACCTCTCAAACCATTTGGCAAATTTTGACGATTTTCGTACGGAATCTCGACCCGCGGTTTTCCGCCGGTCGCAAACATATGAGGAAATTCTTCTAAAAGTTCTTTTGTCTGTTGGTTTTTCAAACCAATGACGTGCTTGCTTTGTAGAACGAAGAGCATTCAAAATACTTTGCATTTGGTACATGTCATCTTTGACCGAACGAATGAGACGTAACTGTTTGTTATACTGTATGTACTCGTATTCTTCATTTATATCTTCATGAACGATAGCAGTTGTTGTGTTCTCTGTTGTTGACATTTCTGTCTTTACATACAAAATAAAAAATAAAATAAAAATAAAATTAGCGTTATTTTCTATCTTGTATAAAAGACCAAAATAAACGCTTTACATGTATTTTTCAGCAACTTCGTCAAATAATTTTATAGCTTTGTCGATCTCATCTACTCTATTCAAACGTTTCTTTACCTTTCGTGGGAGCACCATACATTTTCTCAAACTTTTCAAGTAGTTCTGTTTCTGCAGCTCTCATATCGTTAACAAACGCAACCTTAACTCTATTGACTATACTGTCATATCTTTGAGTTATATTAAATGTTCTTCCTATCTTATATCTCTTTGTATTGAAGTCCTTCGGTTTCTGAACGATGTAAAGTAAGCCTTCACTGCAACGTTCCGTATCGAATGAACCATATGTTATGAAATTATATCCAACAACTGGGTCAATCCAGAACAAAACTACTGGTTAAAGACTTTTGTCTATAAGATATGCTCTTGTTCCATAGAATCTTACCGATATCATAAGCTCAGGATTTCTTGTCAAAATTTTCTGAGTAGAAGCATTTCTAACCCAATCGTGGGATGTTTTCTTTTCAGATAGTGTTAGAATGTCTGACAAAGAATATTTGTTGTATTTCTTTGAGTATCTTACGTTTAAATCACCTATTCTAACCACTTTGGTGTCATTGTCTATCTTTCTAACTGTTTCAAACTCAGTGTTTGTCATTTCCTGTTCTTACATACAAAATAAAAAAATAAAAAAAAATAAAACTAACGCTATTTTTTTATCTTGTATAAAAGATATGATTTCAGGGAGTTTTTTTACGAAGTGTCAAAGTTCTCTTCGTCAAAAAAATACAGTTATATCATGAAATTTGGTCATTTTTTTACGATTTCATAGAGTTTTTTTACGAAGTGTCAAAGTTCTCTTCGTCAAAAAAATACAGTTATATCATGAAATTTGGTCATTTTTTCACTGTTTTCATGAGTTTTAGGCGACCCCGGTTTTTTCCCTACTCGCAATTTTTCACGATTTTCATAGAGTTTTTTTACGATTTTCGTACGGAATCTCGACCCGCGGTTTTCCGAGGGTCGCAAATTCTTGCGATTTTCGTACGGAATCTCTACCCTCGGTTTTCCGAGGGTAGCAAACATATGAGGAAATTCATGAAATTTGGTCATTTTTTCACGATTTCAGGGATTTTTTTTACGAAGTGTCAAAGTTCTCTTCGTCAAAAAAATACAGTTATATCATGAAATTTGGTCATTTTTTTACGATTTTCATGAGTTTTATGCAAGACCGAGAAAAGTCGGTCTAGAGAAATTTCACTCAAAAGTTCTTGTGTGCTTTGGTTTTTGAACCAATCGTCTGTATGTTTGGTATCTGGAGCAAAACATGCTGTCAAAATACTTTGCATTTGGTACATATCGTCTTTGACCGAACGAATGAGACGGAGTTGTTTGTTAAACTGAACCCACTCGTATTCTTCATGAATTTTGTATAAAAGATATGATTTCAGGGATTTTTTTTACGAAGTGTCAAAGTTCTCTTCGTCAAAAAAATACAGTTATATCATGAAATTTGGTCATTTTACTCAGCAAAAATATATTTTAGGTGGAACCAGGTCCCTCGGTCACTCGGTCAACTAACATCTTTTTGAAAATGGTGACAACATGACATTTTGACAACAACACAGGAAATAAACTTCTTCGTATATGCTTTGTCAAGACTTTCATCGTAAATGAGCGTAAATCAGACAAAAATATATTTTAGGTGAAGAGGTGAGATCTCACCTCTTTTCTCACCTCTTGAATTTTGTATAAAAGATATGATTTCAGGGATTTTTTTTACGAAGTGTCAAAGTTCTCTTCGTCAAAAAAATACAGTTATATCATGAAATTTGGTCATTTTACTCAGCAAAAATATATTTTAGGTGAAGAGGTGAGATCTCACCTGTTTTCTCACCTCTTTTTCACAAGCGTCTTACATGAATTGTACGATGTATATTTGAAATCCTAAACAGTTTTGTAGCTTCTATTTCTTCTGTCAGTATGTCAAAAGTTTTAACAATGCCGAATGTTTCTTTATATTTCTTCTTGACGTCAGATAGAAGGAAATCGTCAGCAGTTGGATAGTTTTTGTTTAGAAATGTCAACATGTCCATTTTATCTTCTGCTGGTTTCTCTGCTTCTTTCTTTAAGTCAGCATAGTCGTTTCGCATACGTTCTATCTCTTTGACGGAGTAGTTATATTTCCTCATTGCTGCTTTACATTTTGAACATTGTGGGTTCATTTTAGCATTGTACATTGAAATTTGACCTGCTAGAACAACTAAGGCGTCAATGGTTTTCTTTAACTCAAAAGTTGCTGGTTTTATCTGTTCGTTCCATACTTTACCTCTTTTATCTTTATCTCTTATCTGCCATACACATTTTGCAACTAACGAAACAAAGTTGTCGTAGGTCTTAAATTCTTCAGATTTATATATGTCAGAAACATTTTTATATACCATATCGCAGTCTTTGTCCATGACTTTGTGGTTGCAATGAAATCCAAGAAACTCATAGTTTGCCTTACGTATGAACTTCTTTGGTTTCTACTGAGTCAGTTGCTTTGACTTCTATTTCATCGAATTCAGGAATAGTAAGCTTTTGTTGTTGTATTTCAGGAAGTTTAGGTAGATGGTCAATAATATCCTGCATTTCATAAAGATATTCTTCATTTGTTTCATCTTTCGCACTACAGTCTAAATCTCCTTGGAGAAGTTCTTGCTTTATCTTCTGGATTTCTGTTTCGAAAGTATATATGAAGAAGGAATGAAGCTTTTCATCTCTACTAACATTGAAGTTGGGTTCATGACTAACGAGTTTGGTGAAGTTGTTGCTAACATGTTCTTACAATAAAAATAAAAAATATTTTTTTAAAAAACTAACTTTTTTTATTTCGGGAAAATTCATGAAAATTCAAGAGGTGAGAAAAGAGGTGAAAAAAGAGGTGAGATCTCACCTCTTCACCTAAAATATATTTTTGCTGAGTAAAATGAGTTTTGGTTGAAAAAACAGGTGGAGCCAAAAGTGGCTCGACCTCAAAACAAGCATTTTGTGAAGAATATACCACCCGCCGGAATTCCGGCGGGTGCTTTTTATACAAAACATTGACGATGAAATCATGACAAAACATGTACGAAGAAGTCTATCTCCTGTGTTGTTGTCTAAATGTCATGTTGTCACACTTTTTCAGAGAAGTTTAAATTACCTGGTGACCTGGTGACCTGGTGACGTAGTGACACCTAAAAACCATCTAACCTAAAATATATTTTTGCCGAATTCAATAAAAAGAAATGGTTCATTTACTCACAATATTTTTGTACAAAACGACCCCAAACTTTTAACCTCTCTTCTGCAGCTTCTAATGAAACTTTAGCGAGTTCATATTCTCTAAATTCTCTCTTTAAATCTTCTTGTTCCCATTGGTCTAGTTCGTATGGAGAGTCTCTATAACCAGAACATATCTCATGTTCATGTTCTATTTGTTTTTCGCGCATTTTTCTAACTTCTTGTTCGAACAAGGGTTTAGCATTCTCTGCTGTATCTTCAAGTTCTTCTTCATCTAATTTCTCATGAACTTTCTTGTCTATGGAGTCCAGAATTTTTCCAACTGCTATGCAATATTTTGGAGAAGCCCACATTGCTATATAGTTTACAAGTCTTGGGTCTACATACGTTCCTCTAACCTGTTTGATTTCATCGGGAATTCCTGCATGAACTTTGTATAAAAAGCAACCGCCGGAATTCCGGCGGTTGGTATATTCTTCACAAAATGCCTTAAAATACTCTTCCCAGGACTTATTTTCCAACAACTTTCTAAAGTCTTTCCTAAACTGCTGACACATATTTGTTACATTTATATAACCATCCTTGTCTCTACGTAAGACTTCAATACCGTTGTAAGTGCCTTTTGTGAATGTTTCGCCATTAGATTTGTTCGTGAACGTTTTTGCTTCGACTGTCATTTCAGTTCTTACAATAAAAATAAAAAATATTTTTTTGGGTGGTACGTCGGACATTCGTTTGTGGCTTAACCGTCGGACATTCGTTTGTGGCTTAACCGTCGGACCACAACGATAAAAATCTCATTTTAACTCACTTTTTTTCTATCTTAAGGAAATTCATGAAAATTCAAGAGGGTGAAAAAACAGGTGAGAAAACAGGTGAGATCTCACCTCTTCACCTAAAATATATTTTTCAATACTTTTTCAGCACTTTTCCGTAGTTGTATATGAAAGACAATTCGAGATAAAAGTCATAGTACAATGGTATTATATGCTGCAGACCATTTGTTGTGAACCAAACTTGAAAGTCAGAGAAACTGTTACTAGGTGGTTCGTAGAATTTAGAAGCAAAGTCATAAAAGTCCTTACCGATACACAGAAAACTGTTGTTGCTTGAACTGAAACTTGCATGACACATGACATTTTGAGGGTCAAACACGTTTCTATAAACTGTCAAATCTGCTGGTGGAAGTATAAATTTAAATGGACCATCTGGTGGTAATGGTTCGTTCTGGTTTAGTAACCGAAGAAATTGTGCCCAAGAACGTTTGTCTACTCCCCAATATAAAAACTCTGTATCTCTTGGAGGGTTAATTTCAATCTTTTGAAATGAAACTGTGGAGTTCATCTTGTCGTATTCTAGCTTCAGATAGTATGTTCCATTTAGTAAAGAGTCGTATTTTTCTTGAAATTCCCAGTAGTATTTGTTTATTTGAGTTTGAAAGTCATTTAGAGTTTTTTCAAGACTTTCGTCTGAACGAATTGTAAAGATTTTCATTTCGTCAAATTTTTCTATTAGACCATCAGAACCTTTATACTGACCGTGAAAATATACTGCGAACATAAACGCGTTAGTTCTATTTGAAAACAAAACTCTTCTAAATCCTATTGCCTTTGCATCTGAAGGACTTTGAAGCCAACGAATTGGATAGTCAAACCTGTAAGCTCCGGATGAAATTTCTTCATCTGAAATATTTCTACCAGCGTTTGTAAAGATATAGTCTAACGGTTTTGTATCTGCTACTTTTGTTCTTTGTTTTTCAACCTGAAGCATTTAATATATGTAAAAATATACTGTTTTAAAAACGTTTTAAAATGGTATGCCATATAGCTTCTTGAATTTGTTAAGAAGTATTTTAACGCATTTTCCATCTGTATCTCTAGTGTTTACATAAGCATAGCCTTCCTTAGTAAAATATACTCGTAATTTCCTATAGTTTACGCCGGTATAAAAGTAGAAAGAGTCTTGTTCTTCGCTATAGTAGTAAAACTCAAACGTATGCTTACCATAGTCTGTAATTTCAATTGTTTCATCTTCTAGTTCGTCGACAAATTCGAATACAATATCTCCAAATTTGCCTTTGTTCTTACTGTTTTCAGAACAAGTGACCCAACGTAAGTTTTCAAGTCTATTGTCGTTTCTTATACGGTTTATATGGTCTACAAAAGGTAAATTGTTAGGATTCAGTATAAAATGAGTTGCAATGACAATATGTTTAAAATAGTTTTTTCCACTCATATTCATAGTAGCATATCCGTCATTTCGCTCCCATTCGCTTAAAACTCTTTTTGTCTTTTTGTTTCTGACTTCAAATGACTCACAACAGTGAATTTCATATTTCTCATCTAACAAACAAGTTTCCCAACGGTCTTCTCCAACAAACTCAGCGTACATTTCAAATAAAATAAAAAAATATTTTTTTGAAAAAATTTTGTTTTAAATGGTATGCCATTTCATATTTCTCATCTAACAAACAAGTTTCCCAACGGTCTTCTCCAACAAACTCAGCGTACATTTTTATAAAAATAAAAAAATGTTTTTTCCTTTACTTTACATAACCACCTGCTGCCATAAGTCTTTGACGCCAACCCATACCAGCTAATGAAGGTTGACTTGGTTTAGTATTGAAACTAACCTTTGGTTTTGGTTTATCTTCAGTTTTTGGTTTTTCTTCTTCTATTGGTTTTTCATCACTTTTCGGTTCATTTGACTTTACCTCACTTGCAGGAACAGTTGTGTCGTCAACATCTTCATAAATATCATATGCCATCTGTTTCTGTTTTCCTTTCAACTTTTTGTGTTTGTTGTAAAGTTTAGAATATTTCGACTCTAAGTCAATGAGATGTTCTATAATGAACTGTTGGTCAGTGAAGTAAACTTTTCCATCTGTTGTCTCGAAAGCTCCTTCAGACTTCAATATTTTATTTGTGAGAGTCTGTTTCTTTTTTGAGATACTAGCCGTTCCATTTTTATGAAAAGTGACTTTGTAGTTAGAGTTTGTATTTCCAGACCTGGCACTTTCTATTATTGAATTTTTCTCTTCATCTGTAAGTTCTTTGACAGGTTTTGACAATGGTTCTGAACTTTTTGTTTGTGGTGTCAAATCTACCGTTTCAACTTCTTCGGTCATTTCATCTCAGTAAAAAATTTTAGTTTGGTTTGTTTTCAACTGGTTGTTGAGGTTTTTTAAGTCGGTCTAAAACTTCCTGAGGTATAGGAAGAACTTGACAAACACGTTGTGTAACTGCTGGAAGCCGACAAATCCATCTTGAACCCATTTGTCTCAATGCTGTATTGTTCATTTCATCTCAGTAAAAAACTTTACATTCCCCACGTTTGAGGCGGTTGAGGTTGGTTGTTGTTTACCCACTGTTGTGCATGGTTATATCCTCTGTTAAAGAATCTTTCACCTTGGTCCATATAGTGCCCTGCTTGGTTATAGTAGTCATTTGCTTTGTTATAGTAGTTTCCTGCTTGTCTTCCTACATTGTCCATCCATCCTTGAACTTTTCCTCTTGTTTCAGGATTTGGAATAAGATTTGCTGCATCTCGTGCTACCTCCCAACCTTTCTGTACAGTTTGTATAATAGGTTGTGCTTTCTCTTTCAGTATACCTAATGTACTCAAAATCTTCCTTCCAATTCCAAATGCACCTCTGGCTATTGTTCCCACTGCGGGCAAAAATCTAGATGCGACTCCTGCTAATGCGCCAAATAAACCCATTTCTTATGGGTTAAAAATGACGAATTCAAACAAGGACCCCTATGTTTCTAAAGCGACAAAGAAAGCACTCATGGTAAAAATCTTTAGTTCAACACCAAATGCTTGGTTTATGGATATCTTGGAAAACATTCCGAGGTATAGAGAAGATGGACCACCATATTGGCTAATATTTGTCGGTCAAAACACAAGATACTGTGAAGCCATACCATTATGGTCCAAAAATATTTTAGATGTGAAAACTGCTTTGACAATATTCGTTGACAAATACCATCCAACAAAACTGACATCTGACTGTGAAAGTTCTTTCAAATCAGACGATATTAAAAACTATCTGCGTTCAAAAAATGTAAACCAATATTTCATTGTCGACCAAAACCATTCTGCTCTTGGTGTCATTGACAGTTGTATAAAAATCTTAAGAGACTTAAACCAACCACAAGGTGGTGAAGCAAATGAAATGTCATATGACGACAAATATAGACACTTCTCCATGGCAAAGATGAGACAAGTTTTAAATATTTACAATAGCCGTAAACAAAAAGGTTTGGGAAACCACTCCCCCGAAGAAATGAAAAACAACCCCGACTTAGAGAAAGACTATATATTTAATAGTTTAGTCAAAAGAGACAAACAAGAAAGAATGCCGGGCTTCAAACTTCAGAAAGGTGACAAAGTAAAAATAGAAATACCTAAACGCGACCCATATGAAAATACTATTGACTATGACAACAATGGGAACCCGACAGGTACTCACATTCGTGTTCGTAAAATAGAAGAAAGTATACAAGAGAATATTATGAAGTTTTAGGCAAACATGGCAAAATGTACAGACTGCAAGCAGAAGATAAAACTACTATTGTCAGACCTCGTTTCAAACTTGTCAAAGTTCAAGGTGGTATACTTTCAAAGACAGTTCCTAACAAATATAAGACAACTCCTGACGAATATGCTAAAGAAGTTGAAAATGACGACTAAGCATTTCTATACCATGCGTAAACTGTCATGTAAGGTGGCATGTAGTCTTTACTTTGTCCCGTTGTTTGTGTATATCCTGAAACGAGATGTGAATGGTCTCCTCCTCCCTGAGTGTCACTCCAGTAACAATTTATAGCAAACTCAACGTCGTCTTTAACATCATATCCTTTACCTTTTGTCATTCTTGACCATTCCCAATATCTATGCTTATGCCAACCTTCTCGAGATGTACTTAAATCTATGTAGTGACTATGCGCAGGTAAGTTTTCACCTGAAATCGTTTTACTTCCACCTGTTTCCTTTGAAGAGTTTGCACAATACAAAAACCTGTCGACTATTTGAGTCCAAGTTCCAAAACCAAGTACTACTTCTGGTCTGGTAGAGTTCATTGAAACATATAATGAGCCAACCGGGTAAATAAGATTCGGCAAAATTTGTTTAAGCACATTGAGTTCCTGTCTTAGATGTATAATACTATTGTCATTAGACATCAAAGTATCTACAAGACTTGTTGCCGGTGGTATTGTTGGACCTTTACTTGGCAAGGTTGTGTTTAGTGTAATATCATCTGCTGTAAAAGTTGTAAAACTTGTATGTGTATGTCCAACGTCACTTTTACTGTTTAAGGTTTCTTGTAAGTTTGTAATATTTGCAATGGTATGTGTATGTCCAACGTCACTTTTACTGTTTAAGGTTTCTTGTAAGTTTGTAATATTTGCAATGGTATGTGTATGTCCAACGTCACTTTTACTGTTTAAGGTTTCTTGTAAGTTTGTAATATTTGCAATGGTATGTGTATGTCCAACGTCACTTTTCCTGTTTAAGGTTTCTTGTAAGTTTGTAATATCAGATATAGAATGTGTATGAGTCTTTTTAGAATATTCGTTTTCAGCTCTTGTCACTTCACTTGACATTTTATTGTCAACATATGTTTTGTCTGCTAGTTCAGGATGAGTATGTTCTTTTGTTGCATAAGCTTTGTTAGCTCTTTCTTTTTCTTTTGCTATTGCATCGTCTACATATGTTTTGTCAGCTTTGTTGTCAACATCTGCTTTCAAAAGAAGTTCATCTATAGGTTTCTCGTTTAAAGTTCCTTTTGTTGGATTTACACAGACAGTATGGTTCTTATTGTCTTGAAATAGAAACTCATCTGTCATTGGGTTTAATGTCAGTTTTAAGTTTCCTTCTTTCAATGACTCAGATATCTTAGAATAGTTTGAAAAGTTTGTTGTGTTCTTATTTAGAGCTTGTATAATGAGTTGTCGGTTGTGTTTTATTTCTCTCATAGACGCTGTTTCTTTCGACATTTTTATTCTAGATAAAATATGCTTTCAATAGAAAAAGAAAATTCAAGAGTTGCTACAACTAAACCATTAGATGAACTTTTTACCAATGTCGGTCAAAAGTTTGAGACAGAGACCGTAAAGCATGAAGGCTATCGTTTTGACTACCCATTGAGATGGCTAAGAGACCCATCCGTCACAAAAGCTGTTGGCTTTCGTAGAATGAAGTTCATTTCAGAAGCCATACATGGTTTCCCATTTACGGTCGGTTTTGAAGTTCGATACTATAACAAAGAAAAACGTACGTATGAGAAATTTGTACAGGGAAAACTTTTACAAGTTAGTTTGCTTGTAAACTTAGAAACAACTCTTCAAGCTTTTCAAGAAAAAATAAACGATATCTATCTCGAATATGCAAAACAGTACAACATTGACGAAGGAGAGTACCATCTCGATATTTTATATGACAGGAAAAATGCAACTGTTAAAATCAATAGAATAGAAGACCTTGGAGAA